TTAAGTGGCTAAAGTAGAGTGGAAAAATTAGTCATTTACACAAGTCCCCAAGTCTGGAATATGACATATGGAGGTTGTGAGTGAGACTTCTCCAAGATTTGGACACTAAGATGCTTTAGGGAAATGAGGAATCATGCGAATAGCAGAGGGTCCTTGCATGAATAAATTAGTGACCTCTTTATCTTTCTTTCGGGAGTATCATCAAGGGGTTCACTTGGCACCAATTTATTTAGTGTTTATAATAAGAGTTTTGTTATTATTTTAGGTTGATATAGGCTCAAGTTTATCTTTTATTGCTTGGCCTGTTGCCACACGTTGCCATTTATATTTTCATCATGTGGCAAAGTTATTTTTTATTCTTTATACCATACACACGCATGTACATGAGATAAGGCAAACCTAGTTATACGTATGGACAATCTCAAGCTTGAGCTACAGTCATTGTGGGTGGTGCCAAATCATGTTTTTTTACCTCATCCTTGGTATGGATTGGTTGCGGCATAATCATGTCAAATGTAACTTTGAAGTTTCTCCCTTTTATCTGATATTTTTTATATTTCTTCCATTCCTCTCACTTTTGTTCTTTTTTGTCCCTTTACTTTTACCTTTGCTTCTATTACCTTTTCTTCTTATTACTTCCTTCTATGTTTTTGTCTTGTTCCTCTATTCCCTCTTCAAATTCTTCCGAATGTCTTTATGTTGCAACGATTGACTGTCTTATAAAGGAGTATGCCGATCTTTTTAAATTTGACCTAGCGTTTAGAGCCAAGATTATAACACGTCATCCTATTCCAACTCGGGATACTTGTTTAATCAAGGTTCATATTTATCATTAGTCACCAAAAGAGATCAAAATTTTATGTGCAAACGTAAAAAAAATGTTGGAAAAGGGTGTTATTCAAAAGTTACAGAATCTTTAAGCACGTGAACCTCATTTTATGATGAAACCTAATGGGAGTATTCATTTTTGCATCAACTATCGTTCATTAAACAAAATAACAATCCTAAATATATACCCTCTTTCTCACACTATTGATCTCTTGGATCGTCTAAGGAGAAGTCATTGGTTCACCAAGTTAAATTTTACTTTTGGATATTGGCAAGTGCTGATGGCTAAAGAAGATATTCCCAAGATTATTTTTTATATATTATTTAATTTGTATGAGTTTTTGGTGATGCTGTTTGGTTTAAACAATGCTCTAATGACTTTCCAATAGATGATGGACAAAGTTCTTTGTGATATGCCGAAAATGACTATTAGCTTCATTGATGATATACTTAGCATTCCTCTTCTTTCTACCAAATTTTATAGATAATCCTTTGCAGCTAAGAAGAATAAGCAAGGAAAAAGAATTCAAAAATATTAAAGCAAAATTTAATTAGTATATACTATATACCTTTTATAAAATTTATTATATAAGTACATGGAATATATAAATGTATATATTCAAATAGGGCAAGAACATACAATGTAGTACAATAAAAAATATGAGCAATAAAACAACCAAGATATTGCACTTGCTAAGGATATGTTGCACATTATTCACACACTTTAGAGTGGGGAACTTAAAAATAGTTATAAATTTGTTAAGACCAATTTGCAAACCTTTGCAAAAAATATAATACCTAAAAAAAATCTTATCCTTTGATACAAACACACACTTCAACTATTTCAACTTCAAACCAACTTTCTATAGCCAATCTTACAATGAACATGCTCCTCCCATATCCTTTTCAATGGAATCAAGACATTAATGATGAAGTTAGTAATGGCATATTGAAAAGAACTTTATCCACCATCTACTGGAAAACCACTAAAACATTATTCAAACAACATTATTAATAACATATATAAACTAAATGGAGCATGAAAAATAGCCTGAAGAACATCTTTTTCAACCATTAGCACTTGTTAGTAATTAAAAGTAAGATTAAACTTGGTGAAGAATGGCTTCTCCCCAAACAATATAAAGGATGGGTAGTGTAAGGAAGAAGGTATATATATAGGATTGTTATATTATTTAAAAATAAGATGAGGTATATATAACTAAGGATTTCAAGACTTTCAAATAACACTTTTTCTCAAACCTTGGTAATTGAGGTTAAACAAGAACCTTGATCAAACAAACATCCCTAGTCAAAATAAAATGAAACATTGCAATCTTAGTTTGAGATGATAGGCCAAAGTCGAAGAGATGAGTATACTCCTATTTGAGTTAGTCAACTATTGTAACACAAAGATTATCTAGAAAGGGAACATGATAGGAAGTAATAGAAAAATAAATGTGATTAAAGCATAAGTAAAAGTAAAAGGATAAAATATAATAAAAATAAAAGGAATGAACGAGATATGAAGGAGTATTAAACAAGGGAGAAGCCTCAAAGTCATACTTAACATGATTATGCTTTAACAATCCATACCAAAGATGAGTTTAAATACTTAATTTGGCACCATCCTTAATAATTGAAGCTCAAGATTGAAATCACTCATATATATTACTTCATCCGATACACATGCATGTGTCATCAATTTCTAGAATATAGTTTCTCAATCTGGCATTGCATCAAAGAGCTCCTTGGCAACGAGAGTGCAATTGTTTTAGCCGATAGTAGTGATCATCGCATTCCAGCAAGGGATGCTTTGCTGGGGGATGAGCACGAATGCTCTCTAGGATTCCGGAGGTGTGGCCATTGCCATAGAGAATGAAGAGTGGCTCTACCACATAACACAAATGTAAATAGCAATTTGTGGCAATAGAACAAACAATAGAAGATAAACTTAAACCCTTATTAACTAATAAGGAGAGGATAACAAAAGATCTTTTGTTATAAAAATGAATTTAAAAAGTGAACATTAAATAAACTAGTGCCAAATGAACCCCTTGATAATATTTATAAAATAAGGATGGAGGGGTTGATGATTTATTCAGTCCTTCCACTTGGATCAACATTGTCATATTGATGCTACTACAGTGAAAGGTCTTGACATAAAGATTTTTCCTAGGAAACAAAAGCTTCACC